CAGGGCAGGGTGGAGGCATCAGCGACAGGGCTGGCGCCTCGCAAGAACTGTCACCATCCACTGCAGAGCGCGAGCCGCCGAACATACATAGCACATCGTACTATAGACTACAGGCTAACTTACATGCGAATGCATACTGCATACATATTCCAGAATGGCCTCGCGCGACCCCTCCCTCGAATGGTCTTCGTAGGACGCCAAAGGCTGGGGCAAACCTCCGCGGCTCCCGCGCAGCGGGGGCTGGGGGAATGCCGACCCCCGCCCCCGGCCCGGGAGGCGGGGCAGGCGACGAGCAGCAGGGGCCCCTCAAAAGCGGGCAGAGGCGGAGGACGGCAGCCCCCCCAACCCCCCGGGCTTGCCAGCCGCGGCGGGGCGAAGCGGACGGCGGGGGTTGGGGGAATTGCCGACCCCCGCTTCCAACCCCAGCGGACGGATGGTGAAGTTACCCGTCGGGCGGGAGCAGCGACGAGCTGCAGAAGCAGAAGCGGAGGACGACAACCCCCCTAACCCCCCCGAGCTCGCCCTCCGTGGCGGGGCGGAGCGGACGGCGGGGGCTGGGGGAATTGCCGACCCCCGTCCGCCGAGAGGACCCCCAGCAGCGGGCGGAGGCAGAGGACGGCCACTCGCCCAACCCCCGAGGCCCGCCCACCGCGGCGGGCGGGGCCGCGGCGGGGGTTGGGAAAATTGCCAACCCCCCGCAGCCGGCCCAACAGCGGGCGGTGGCAGAGGACGGCCACTCGCCCAACCCCCGACCCCCCCCATCCTCCTCGTCCTCCCCCAGGCCAAGGTGGGGGCCCAGAAGAAGGCCCAAAGAAGCCCCGCGGAGGCCGCCCAGGGGGTGACATTGCCACCGCCGCCCGCACGCGCTGGCGGCGGTGGCGACGTCACCCCCCGGGGGGGTCGCGAGAGGGCCCGCCAAGGCGTCGCCGGCCCCAAGGGCCGACCCAAAGGAGCCCGAAAGAGGTCCCCCTGGGGGGCACAATGGGGCCGCTCGAACCACCTCAGGCCCCGGCGAGTATCAGCAGGGGCAGGTGGGCGGTGCATCCCCCTCCGCCTGCACCTCATCCACCTCCTCCTCATCCACCTCCTCGCTTCCACAGGGATCCGCAGGGAGAAAGTGCCAAGGTGGGCCCTTCTTGACAGTCAGGCCCCTTCGCCAGGGACAGCCGCGGACCGCCCGGATGGATGCCCCCTGGACAGGCACCAGGGCCGGGAACGCCGTGGGCGCAGCTGGCCATGGGGGCCAGGGAGGGGGCCATGGGGGGCCACCAGGTCGCCTTGAGGAAGTGCCAAAAAGGGCAGAGCCAACCAGATCCTCCTCCTCCTCCTCCTCCTCCTCCTCTTTCCTCCTCCTCCTCCTCCTCCTCTCATCCTCCCCTCCTCCTCTCCTCTCCATCCTCCTCCCCCCCCTCCTCGTCCTCATCGTCATCCGCGTCCTCCTCCTCCTCATCCTCTTCCTCCTCATCCTCCTCATCCTCCTCCTCATCCCCCACCTCCTCCCTGTCGTCCTCCTCCTCCTCTTCATACCCCCGCCTCCTCCCTCCTCCCCCTCCTCCTCCTCCTCCTCCTCCTCATCCTCTCCTCCTCCTACTCCTCCGTCTCATCCTCCTCCTCCTCCTCTTCTCCTCCTCCTCCTCCTCCTCCTCCCCCTCCTCCTCCTCCTCCGCCTCGCCCTCATCATCGTCCTCATCCTCCTCCCCCTCATCATCCTTGTCTTCATCCTCATCATCATGCTGTCCTACTCCGTATCGCCTTCGTCCTCATCCGCATCCCCCTCCGCCTCTCCCGCCCAATGTTCCCCTCTTCCGCGCACTACCCCCCAAGGGCGGGCACTGCTCGACCGCTGTCCGCCGCGCCCGCCGAACGGCTGGCGCGCAGCCGCACCGAGCCCCGAGACGGGGCTCGAGGCGGCCGGGCGCCAGCCCGCTCGCAAGCACGACGCGCGACGCGCGCGCATGGCCCCCCGTCTCGCCCGAGTCGCGCGCAGCAACCCCCGCGCGCCTTGCAGATGCTGATGGGCGCGAAGGCGGTCTTCGCGCTGCGCGCGCTGCGCGCCGTGCGCGCGGGGCTGCGCCTCGAGCGGCCCGAGTCGCTGGAGTCGTCCGCCGTATGTGGCATGGCACCTCCCGCGACTAGCGGGGCGACCCCGCGCGCACTCCTCGCGGGGGCCAGCTGCTGAGAGCTGCCCACAGGGGAGTGGCGCGCGGCGGTGGGGAGGGGGGATGGGGGCGGAGACACAAGGAGGGGGGCGAGGGGGCCGAAGAGGGGAGGGGCCAGGGAGGGGGGCCGGGCTAGTCGGGGCGCTCGACGGGGGAGGGCGAGGAGGAAGGAGGCGGACGGGCGCGAAAGAGGAGGGGTTTCGATGGGGGCCCGCTGCAAGAGAGGCGAGGCGGCGGCGTTCGAAGCGGAGGAGGGCACGGAGGGGGAGAGGAGAGCTGTTTTGGGCCATGTTCCCACGTGCCAGACGTGTTGCTCCTACGTATTGGGCTCATATTTTGGGTTGTTTCGCCTGAAATATTGTGGAATGTATTCGGAATGTTGGGAATGCTGTGTGTATTTATTCGGTTTCGGCCCGGGTCCATTTCCGGCACTTACGGGCCCCATTCCGGCACTTACGGGCCCCATTCCGGCACTTACGGGCCCCATTCCGGCATTTACGGGCGCCCTCCAAAATCCCAACATTCTTACGCGACATTCCTGGGACGTCCCAAAACGTTGTAGAAATGAGGATGTCTGATTTATGACATTATTGCAACAATTTTGCAACAATGTATCATACTTGGGCGGCACAACCCTGAATGCCCTAACGCATGCGCGCCTTGCGCGCGCGCGCCAATCTCTCGGGGGCCAGACGCGCGCCGGGCAGGCCCGCTCGCCGACGCACGAGGTCGCGTGGACGGCGTCGGCGAAGGCGCCGCGGCGCGAGCGAGGGAGGGGGAGGCGTCCACAAGTGCCCTGAAGCGCCCATGGGACGCCCAGGAGTGCCCTGGGGCGCCCTAGTGTCATGGAGCGCCTGGGTCGCCTCGGCGACTTTGGAGTGCCACGGGGTGCCCATGGAAAGCCCTGGGGTGCCTTGGGCATCCTCCTCCTCCTCCTCCTCCTCCTCCTCCTCCTCCTGCTCCTCCTCCTCCTCCTCCTCCCCCC